CCTCAGAGAGACAGAGAGAAATAAAGAGAGAGAGAAAATAAGAACTCACCTCCCCAGGAGGAAAGGCCATGCTATAATCCCTGTGACTCCATTCTCCTCTTGGGATTTTCGGGCACACGCATACAAGCCCAGTGTGTTTTTCAAGCCGCCGCGTCTGGGACTTGAATTGCAAAGTCAGCTACCTGGGATCCAGCCATCTGAACCTCTGTGCCACCTTCTGGCCCCATTTCTGACATTTTATGCAAACTTTAAACATATTCTAGTTTGCTTTGTTAAATTACAGAAAATTGCTGAGTCTAGGTATTTTAAGAAAATAAAGATGTGGTATTTTATTTATTACTAGAGTGCACATACGATTGCCAAAGACAGAGATAAAGAATGAAAGAGAAAAAAAAGACCAAATCACCCTCCACTGGGGAGTGACAATGCTGTAACCCTTTCTCCATTTCCAATCCTATTGAGATTTGGGGCATGCACGCACATATACATGGATTCAGTGTGTTTTTCTTGGCTCTGGGACTGTGGCCAGTCATGTGGGATCCAGCTCCCTTAGCCACTAGGCAATTGGACTTGCACTATGAGAATAGATGTTTATTCAACTCACAGTTTGAGTGTCAAAGGTTCAGGGTCCCTTTCAGTGGGGTCTTCGGGTTCAACACATGGCAGAGGGCAGGACAGCAAAATCTGTTCCCCATCTGTCTCTCTTACTATAAACCTACTGGAAGTCCATCAGGGGTCCCACCCTGATAATGATGTTAACCTTAATATACTCTTTAAACTCCTCCCTGTGACACCATAACAAGATCAAGTTTTTTCCCTCTTAATCCCATTACAATGACTCTGCCCATGAATTTGGTAGGTGACATATTCAAACGACTGCAATATCTAGAATTTATTCTTTTTTTTCTTTTCTTTCTTTTTTTTTTTTTTTTCTCCCTTTGGAGAAGCTTTTGTTATAGGGCGCATGTGCTCGCCAGAAAGAAAGACAGAGATAGAGAGACAAAAAGTGAGAAATCACCCCCCAGGGAGGATGGCCACACCGCAATCGCTTCTCCTCCATTCTGCTCTCGAGATCTTGGGCACGCACGCACTCGCGCCTGGCTTGAATTTAAGCCGCTGGGTCCAGGACTCGAACCGCGGTCGACTACGTGGGAGTCCAGCGACATAGCCATTATGCTAACTGCTGGTCCCTAGAATTTATTCTTGATGCTTTCATTAGTGTAGTCTTGTCTCAGGAAATCAAAACATTATTTTAATAGGGCCAATGTTCTAGTTTCCTTTCAAGAGTCAAATCCAAGTCGTGTAGTTTTCTTTATGCAAACTACTACTCAAATTTTAGCTTCAACACTTCAAGCTAAATTTGCTGGGTAATTTTACAAGGCAAAGGCCAGGGAAAGGAGAAAATGAAAAACAAAGATAAGAGACTACAATGGGAAGTGGCCTAGATCTGTTCTTTCAAAACTACAGTGACATGAATTTCATGGACATCTTTTTTTTAATTTTTCTTATTTAATTTTATTTATTAACTCATTTATTTTAATTTGACCAGACATACACATACACAGAGAGAGAGAGAAAGAGAGAGAGAGAGAGAAAGTGAGAAAGTAAGTTACCAGGTCTGGGATTTGAACCATGGTCAACCATGTGGGAGTGTCCAGTGCTTTTTTTACAAGGCAAAGGCCAGGGAAAGGAGAAAATGAAAAACAAAGATAAGAGACTACAATGGGAAGTGGCCTAGATCTGTTCTTTCAAAACTACAGTGACATGAATTTCATGGACATCTTTTTTTTAATTTTTCTTATTTAATTTTATTTATTAACTCATTTATTTTAATTTGACCAGACATACACATACACAGAGAGAGAGAGAAAGAGAGAGAGAGAGAAAGTGAGAAAGTAAGTTACCAGGTCTGGGATTTGAACCATGGTCAACCATGTGGGAGTGTCCAGTGCTTTTACCACCATGCCAGCTGCTGGTCACAAAGGAAATTGTTTTAAAGGGCAGATTATGCTTCACTATCTTTGGATTGGACTGCTGAGACAGCTTTATTTTTAACAATGTTTTGCCTATGGACTCTTAGCATCCACATGAGCTGTCATGGAGGGTAGAACATGACAGAGCTAAATCTAAAGCACTGGAGAGATGATAAATGGTAAATGTGACTGACCTGCAGGGAGAAGGAGTGGGGACCCAGAAAATTCAAGGGAGGCAGCATAGGTGGGAGAAAAGGTTCCTAGAGAATAGAATAGAAGTTTATTCTTCACCTTAATTTAAAAGAAAACTATTGAACAATTTTAAGCATGTTCCAATTTTCCTTTAGTGTATTGCAGAGAAACTTGTCAATGATTATCAGTTTAGAAAATGAAACTTGTATACTTATGTGTAGCATTTACATTTTATACCAGATATATGACATGTAACTTTCTTAAGAAAAAATTCTTTAGGGGAAAAAAATGTAAACCTCCATTTAGATAATAACAGTAAGATAGTAGGAAACAAAAGGTATATCTTCTGTTAGATTCAATTATATTGGTTCACAGATTTTGTTAGAAAAAGATGAAGCAGAGAAAATTTAACTTCTGTAACACAGGGATCACCCTGGAAGTATGTGGAAGGGAGAAATAAGCAGTATGACGTGCAGAGGTAGCCATCAACGTAACTAGAACTTGACTTCCATTAATTGGGAACATAAATATTGTGTGACATTCTCATAACTCATTATGCTTCCTTTTTTTGCATAAAAAATGTTGGCATTGCTGCATCCAGTACTGGTAGTCTTTTCAACTCTCTCTCTTTTTTTTTTTTTTATTATTGTTGTTGTTATAGGGCATATGTACTTGTGTGAGAGAGGGAGAAAGAGAAAGAAAGATACCAAAAGAAGAAGAGAGGTAAGATGATGAGGAACATCCCCTCTCCTACCAAGATTAGCAATGCTGCAGTCCCCGACATGCTCCTCTCAGGATTTGGGGCACACATACACATGCAACTGGCATGTTTTCCAAGCTGCCAGTTCAGAATTCCAACTGCACTGTTAGCCATGTGGGATCTATCCGCCTTAACCACCATCCCACTGACTGGCTCCAGTTATACCCATTTTAGTGGTGAGTTCTGGAATCTCACTGTGGTTTTAATTTCCCTTTTGTGATCCAACTTCACATCTGAGTGTTTTCTTTGGTAAAGTGCTTGTTCAAATACTTGACCTGTTTTAAATTATGTTATTAGCTTTTATTTTCTGGCTGATTTTGGCAGTTCTTCATACATGTTGTATATGTCATTGAATAACATATTTTCTGCAACTATTTACACTTCCTTTCAGTAAGATATTACATAAGTCCATTATACTGATAGTATTATGTTGATTACAACCAGTGAGCAAGAGGAAGAAACCACTCTAGACTTACTGATAAAATATTTTTGCACCAGCTGGTGGAAAATAAATCTCAAGAGCAGTTGAGACTTTTTATTCAATAAAATGGATAGGAGTCCAGTATCAAGGGATCCATTGAGATATCCATGAAGGATAAGTTGTTGTGAAGGAACCCTCCTACAACCCCAAAGAGGCACAGCACATAGTGGGTCTATTTGAATTACGGAGGCAACATATTCCTCATTCCTTACTTTGACCCATTTACTTAATAGCCCTAAAAAGCTGCTACGTTTCTGTGGGGTTCAGGATAGGGGAAGGCTCTACAATAAGTCTAGGGTGATGTGAAAGCTGACCAGGTACTTGGACGGTATGATCCAGCACATTCCTTGATAATGGATGTGGAGGATGAAAAGATTGCTTAAATAGATGTCAGTAACCTGTGACCTCATGATCAGTTTTAGAAACAAGGACTAAATTGTCATGAATATTTCTTCTCTATTTTGTTAATTATACATTTGTGTGTGTGTGTAATATATAATCTTTTTTTCCTGCCTTGTTTCGTCATAGAACATAAGATGTATTGAATTTATACTAGCAGTAAGCATTACTAATTTTACATCACTGTATTTAAGATATAGAACTGGGGCCAGTGGGTGGCATAGTAGTAGAGGCACTGGACTCCCATATGGCTGACCACAATTTGAGTCATAGACCCAGTAGCGTGAAACTCATGCTGGGCTCATGTGTGCATGCATGCTCAAAATCCCAGGAGGAGACTAGAGGAGAAGGAATTGTGGCATGGCCACCCCTCCTAGAAGGTGATTTCTCACTTTCTCTCTCTCTGTCTCTTGGGTGAGCACACGTGCCTTATAACTAAAATCTCTTTAAAAAAAAAAAAAAAGATGCAGACTATCTGGAGGAGAATAAACATAATACAAAAACATACAAAAATTTTTCCTTTTTTTCTGGGGGAAGGGATTAGTGTGTTTTTAGTTATACATAACACAGGATAGTTGCATCATGGCAAGCAGAACTATGACCTTGTTAATGTCCTTAAAGAACTAGTTATAAATGCCAAGTTGACAAGAGATGGAGTTATGCTGGTTAATTTTAGTTGTAAACTTGTCTAGTTTAAGGAATACACACAACTGGCAAAGCAAATGCTTTCATTTGTTGTTCCTTTTATTATTCTAGTATGCCACTAGCACTTACATAAAAAGTTTGATAGGTTTTAAATAACAGACAAAAATATTTTAAGAAAACAATATAATCATACACTTTGATACTAATAGTATCAAAGACATCACACTCAAGTCTTATCTGATGAACTACACTCTTTTAACATTTAATGCATTTTAAAAACCACATTAAAAAAAAACATAAGCTTGTAAAATATTTTAATTTGATTTTTTTAAAAAATCATTCTAGTATGGCAAAGCTACTTAATTGAAATCTCATGAACATTTTGAATAACATATGCCAATATTTTATGTACTAACACCATAATTCATTAAATTCTAAAACAGATATCATTTCAAAAAACTGTTAAACAGTAAAGAAACAAAACTATATCTAATTGGCACAATTACGTGGCTCTATGTATTGAAAAAAAGAAGATATATTATTATGACATCTAAATATTTCTCTTTAATACTTTCGTGAGTGAATCTATGACTTGCTTATTTCTCAGACTGTAGATAATAGGGTTTAACAAGGGAATTATGACCATGTAAAATAGAGAGCCCATCATATCTTCATCATCTCCTTCTGGAGAAGGAGGACGCACGTACATAAAGAGAAGAGGGCCGTAATATAAAGACACAGACAAAAGATGGGCCCCACAGGTGGAGAAGGCTTTCTTTATGCCCTTCACAGACTTTTTTCTTAAGATGGTAAAGAGAACAAATGAATAAGACACAAGAACAGTCACAATAGTGAATACCTGAATTGATCCAGAGAAAATAAAAATCATTAAAAAATTAATAGAAGGGTCAGTACAGGAAATCTTTAACAGTGGGACAATATCGCAGTAAAAGTGATGGATTATGTTGGAATTACAGAAGGTTAATCTAAATACAAAACCTTCGTGAAGTAAAGCATGAAGAAAACCACCCAAGAATGACAAGACTATCAGTCGGGTGCATAGTCTGTTGGTCATAATCACTGGATAAAGTAAGGGTTTGCATATGGCTACATAGCGATCATATGCCATTGCTGCCAAGAGAAAACACTCTGTGGTTACACTAATTGCAAAAGAAAAAAATTGTATCATGCATTCAGAGAGAGAGATCATGTTACTCTGGGCTAAGAGGTTGACTACCATCATTGGTGTAACTGTGGAAGATATCCAAGTATCCACAAAGGCTAGACTCCCAAGGAATAAGTACATGGGAATGTGAAGTTGAGGATCATTCCCGATGAGAGCAATCAGACCAATGTTCCCTGTGACGGTAATGAGATATATGACTAAGAATACCAGGAATAGGGGAATTTTCCACTCCTGTTGGTATGCAAATCCTTTGAGAACAAATTCTGTCAACAATGTTGTATTTTCCTTTTCCATCTTCTCACTGTATGGCTACTGAAATGAAAGAAAGTAAATGTAGAAAAAACATTCACTATGTAATTACGAGTTGAAATTTGCAAAGGGTATTGCCAAGAATGATATACTTAATTATGACTTAATTTTATTTACTACTACTATAATACATAAAAATATTTGGTGAATTTATAAAATTTTAAAAAGTACTTATTTTACTCAAAGAGTTTCCTGGTTTAGAGAAAACAAGTTGCATTTAATGTACTAAGTTTGTGTTGACACTCTTTAGTGTAGTTAATAAACACCTGTGTCTGAGACATGGTACAGGTTGAAACACAGATGTTTGAAGGAATAGGATTATAGAACAAATTGAAAGTCATGTGAAGAAACTTAAACTTTATTCCTCAGACCATAGGCACTCACTGAAAACTTTTTAAATGGTTATTAATATCACAAGATTTTTAAAATTTAATATTTGGTTGCATAGAAAATAAATGGGTTTATCAAGGGTCAGGATAATATCCAATAAGTTATTATTACAGTACAGCACTTCCCAAACCAGATTACACATGAAGATCTTCTGGGAAGTTCTTTGTAAAAAATATGGATTGTAAGATAATAGTGCAGAAATTGACACAGTTGCTCAAGAATAAAGTTTAGATATCTATTTTGAAAACGCTTCCCAAGTGAATCAAAAGCATGTGATGTGACTAGATTATGTGTCCTACGATATTACAGTGATAAGGATGCTGAAGGGATACTATTAAAGAACTCAGAATGTGGAGTAAATGGGAATTAATGACATATTACATGTAAAGGAAGTGGTAATTTAAAAAAGGAGTGACTTGGTGACTGGTTTATCAAAAATTTTGACTAAGGGACCAGCAGTTAGCGTAATGGCTATGTCGCTGAACTCCCATGTAGTCAACCAGGGTTCTAGTCCCAGACCTGGTGGCTTAAACTCATGTCATGTGTGTGTGCGTGTGTGCCCAAGATCCCAAGAGGACAATGAAAGAGAAGGAATTGCGGCGTGGCCATCGCCCCTGGGGGGTGATTTCTTGCTTTCTGTGTATGTGTTTCAGTCTCTCTGGCGAGCGCACGCGCCCTATAGCCAATACCTCTCAAAAAAGAAAAAAATTAGACTAAAAACTCAGATGTGCTGACAAATTTGTAGAGTAAGAGTCATCTGAGCAATCAGGTTAGACATAGTCTGCTAGAGATTAAACATAGTCTACTATATGAGCCTACTGGAGCTTTATAGAAATAGTAACTTGATATTTGTGGTAGTTGAAGACATAGTTAAGGATAATCTATCCATTAGACTGTATACAACAGAAGGGAGAAGAGAGCAAAACAAAACAATATCTGAAAAAGTTGTGTTACAGAGATGGAAAAAGTGAATATACATCATTGATAAGATGTCCAAATTCTTGTCCAATTTTATTATATTTTTTTAAGAGAGCACTTGTGCTTTCCAAAGAGGCAGAGAGGGACAGAGACAGAAAGTGAGAAATCACCCCGAGAGGGAAGGATGGCCATGCCTCAATCCCACTCTCCTCTTGGGACTCTGGGTATGCATACACGTGCACCCAGCATGAGTGGCAAGCCACAGGATCCAAGACTTGAACCACGGTTGATGGTTAACCACATGAGAGTCCAGTAAAGCAACCAGTCCACCATCTGCTGGTCCCTATATCATGTCCTATTTTTTTAATCACCAGAGTCTTGGTTGTTGGCAGAATTTAAGTACTACTATACAGGTCAAAATAATTACAAACTCATAGCTCACTCCTTTTGTATTTAGTGTGAAAGATATACGTTGGCTAGGAAAACACATCTACTCTAGATTTGAAATGTGCAGAGAGGAAGAAAAAGGTACTAAAATAAAAGTGGGTGATGGTTGAAAAGGCAGCCAAGGCAGTGACACCAGGGTTTTACTTAACAAATCCTACATCCACACCGATGGTATGGACAGTGAGCACTGTGTCATTGGAAATGTAGCAGTGAGCAGCCCTCACAGAGCCGGCTCTGGGGCGTCAATGTGACTGTTCACTGGCTATCTTTCTTCCTTTTATTTCTGTTCATTTTTCCAGCTGAATACCCAACCTTCACAGCATTTCTATATACAGACAATATCTATTCAATAAGCTCATTTTCTTATGCAACCAAGAGCTCTCTTAGCACTGGAGAGATAGAAAGGAAATACAAGGAAAAAGAATACTGAGCACAGCAAATGGAGAAGTTAAGAGGAAAAATTGCACAATTGAATCTTGTATATGTGAAGAGAAGAAAGATACTCAACAAAGACAAAATGAAGTTCAATTTCAAATGCCAAAATACTCTTCAGGACAAGGAGTAATGGAGATTTTTGTGTATCAAAATTGCTAAAATTTTAGTGGCTTTCTGAAATAAACCTCATTTTTATGAGATCTGAGATTGAGAACTATGTAAGTGAATGGGAAACAGTAGTACAACAGTGAGTGGAATGACAAAAAATACTTTTTGAAAATGTAGAGAACAGGGGCCAGCTGGTGGTATAGTGGTTAAAACTTGAACTCCTTCATAGCCAACTCCACAGTTCAAGTCTGACCCAGCAGCTTGAAAATTACAGCAGGTACATGTGCATACATGCCCAAAATCCTGAGAGGAGAATGGAGGAGAAGGAATTGCAGTATGGCCAATTGCCCCTAGGGAATAATTTCTTACTTTCTCTCTTTCTTCTTTCTTTCTCTGGCAAGTACATGCACCGTATGGGGAAAAAAGCCTTATGAAAAAATAAGATACAGAACTATAGGCATTTGTTCACTGTATGGATGATGCACAAAATTAATTTTTGTGGAAACAACTTTTTAGCAAGTTTTCAAAGCAAGACAGTAGATAAAGGCATTGAAGAATAAAGGAGAGAGGAAAGAGGAGGATTTGGGTGGGTAAAAAGAGCGAGGGAGAGGAGGAGAAATAAGTAAAGGAAATATAAGACATAAATGATAGTGCATGAAGGTAAACTGAAGAGGAGGGAGGCATGAAGTACTTGTTAGAGAAGCAGGAGATGAAATAAAGGGAAAGGCTCATTGTCCCCAAACATAGTAAATGTTTGTCTTAAACTTTGTGCTAATTTAAAGTGGTTAACCCTGGAAATATCCCCTTTTTAAAAATTTAATATTCAAATTTTATTTTTATATTTTAGTTGTGTATGAGAATGTTGATTTTGAATCTTGCTTTGTTAATATAATATAATGTAGTTTATATTCTAGCTTTGATGAAAAGTTTCTTTCACAGTTAAAAGTTACCTTACCTTTCTTCTGACAATTATTGAACCCCATTTTATTACCAGTTCTGCTGGTTTTACTCGAGAGCACTTATTTTTTGACAGAATACAATTGAACCAATACTTGTTAAATGCATATTTATTTGGAGTGGATTCTTTCTATTAAATTTCCAGTCACTAAAAATTGGAATTTTTAATGTTCAATTGTTATGGGGCTCATTACTGACTAGGAATATATATATATATATATGACAGAAGTCAGTAGAAACATACAAGAGTTAATATTTAAGTGGATAATATTAAAAATTTTAATTAAAATGTGAGTAATTAAGAAGTAAGGATACTTACCAAAATATCAAAAGTATTCTAATGCAAGATTATGACCTCTATGGCCTCAATTTTGAAATCGGCTTGAAATTGTCTAATGTTCTGTTTTGCTACAAGCTATCTTATAAAATTCTTAATTAGGTTTTTCAAAATAATAAAATATTATTAAAGGAATAAATCAGTCTTACCACTATTTTTCTTATTCATATTGTCTCATGAAAATAAAGTATAAATATAATCCAGTGAAAATTCTCCAATTTGGACCTATTTTGAAAGTCTATAAAAAACAATTTAAAATTATAATAAGTTAAGCAGCATTTTGACAAAATATTCTGTTAAGCATAATTATTATTGTAAGTTATTTCTCTCTTACCCATATTGTGAAAGAAATTGTGGAGATATTTTAAAAGTGGCAAGCTTTCTAAAGCTAAATGAAATACAATGGCATAGGAAGGCAGCCATTCTTTACACACTGATTCATTTTGGAATTTTCATTTGGAGGAAAAAGTTGTTTATATGAATTTTCTTTGTACACAGGAGACAACCAATTGTATGATAGTGTGCTTTTGCCATAGACGAAGGAGTGAAAAACTGGAATTCCCCAAAGAGCACTGGGCATTCCCTATAGGACAAATAGAAGTCATTCTAATGTGTACTGTGGATTTGGTCATTTATGAGAAGTCCACGTTGTCCTCAAAGACATTACATTAGCATTTCTTCATAAACAGTTCTGGTTTTAACAACAGAAATAACAGTTGATGTCACATTTCCCACCACAAGTGACACTTCAGACATTTAATCCAAACGTCAGTATATATAAAATTTACTCTTAATGCTTTCATAACTATGATCTCGTCCAAGGAAATCAAAACATGATTTCAATAATACCAAAGTTCAAGATTCCCTTCAGGAGGATCCTAAGTAAAGCTCCTCTTTATAGAAACTTCAGATCAAATTTCAATCATATACCTTGCTTCTCCACTTGATGCTGAAATCTGATTAAAAAAATATATGACTAAGCAAAGGTCAAGGGAAGGAGAAACTGAAAAACCAGACAAAACAGTATAGTGATAGGTGCTATGCTATCCAAACATTGATGCTTATGAATTTTTTAGAGATTTTGTGAAAAATGTGGATTCTCTCTTTTACTAGCTCTGGATTGGGGATCTTGGGCATCTTCCTTTCTAACTAAGTGAAAACTGGGCATACTTGTCTTCCATATGAGCTTCATCGCTGAGCTTCTCACTGAGATTATGAGAATATAGATCATGGAAAGATAGGAGATGACAAATGTGGCTGTCATACAAAGAGAAGCATTTAGGAGCCAGATGTGCCATGGAAATGGAATGCATGGGAATTAAAGGACCATAGAAAGTAGGTCAGGGATTATTCTTTACTCACTTCAAAAGAAAAGTGATTAGAAAGTATTGATGTTGGGACAAGCAGTTAGCGTAACGGCTATGTTGCTGGACTTCCACGTAGTTGACCGCGGTTTGAGTTCCGGACCCGGTGGCTTAGACTCACACCAGGCACGTGTGCATGCGTGCCCAAGATCCCGAGAGGAGAATGGAGGATAAGGGATTGCAGTGTGGCCCTACCCCCTAGGGGGTGATTGATCGCTTTCTGTCTCTCTGTCTCTCTCTCTCTGGCTAGCGCACACGCCCCATAGCAAAAAAAGCTCTCAAAAAAAAAAAAAAAAAAAAGAAAAGAAAAAGAAAGAAAGTATTGATGTTTAGAGATAACTTCAGAGCATTAATAGAGTAACTTCTCAAAATTTGTTCAGAAAATAAAATTTTAAAAATAAAACTCAAATAAGTGCCATATAGCAAAGGGCATATTCTCTCAGAGTCATTAATCAAACTGTTTACTAAAATTTTACTAAGAAAAACAGCAAAGAGAGACAATATAATCACATAGCACAGGAGTCACTGTGAGAACTCTGTTGAAGGCAAGAGTGAGCAGTATGATATGTCAAGGTAGCTGTCAACATAACCAAATCTTTATTCCCACTGACTGTCCCTAAACATTTCGTATGACTGCCTCATTACTCATTATGTTGTCTTCTTTAGAGTACAAAATATCTGTGTTGCTGTGTAATCATTTTAATCATGGGTTCTAGAACTCGTTGTGGCTTTAATTTCCATTTCCTAGGTTATTAATGATGTCCATCATGTTTTGTGCCCTAACTTGACATCTGTACAATATTTTTTTGTTAAGGTGCTGTTCAAATCTTTGTCCCATATTCCGGGTAGATTACTGGTTTTCATTATTTTTTAACTTTTGAAATTATTTTTATGCATTCAATCACTCTATATCATTACAGCTTGCAAACTAAATTTCCAAGCATAAATACATTGTATATTATTAGTTCAGTTACAGATATCTTACACATTATCATCAGCAGATAATTTTCCATTTTTTTGTCACTTAAATGTTTTGATTTTTTCTTTTTCCACTTTATTCTCTTCCTCTGACTGTCCCCCATTTCCCACCCTTCTCCCACATTGTCTATAGTATTTGCAGTGTTCTACATGCTTTTATACCTTCCAATATTTGTTTCTGCCATAGAGGGTGGACATTTGGTATATATTAAGTGAGGACATACAATGTTTTTCTCTCATAGTTTGCCTTGCTTTGCTATTTTTTCTTTTTCCATTTTATTCTCTTCCTCTGACTGTCCCCCATTTCCCACCCTTCTCCCACATTGTCTATAGTATTTGCAGTGTTCTACATGCTTTTATACCTTCCAATATTTGTTTCTGCCATAGAGGGTGGACATTTGGTATATATTAAGTGAGGACATACAATGTTTTTCTCTCATAGTTTGCCTTGCTTTGCTTAGTAGTAAATTTTCCATATTTGTCCACTCTCTTTCAAATGCCAGGGTCTTATCATTTTTTATGATTGAGTAGTATTCCATAGTGTATATGTGCCACACTTCTTCAATCCATTCATCTGTTTGTGGACATTTGGGTTGGTTCTGTATCTTAGCAATTGTGAAAAGTGCTGCAATAAATATGATGTATGTTTTTTCGATTGAATGTATTCCTATCCTTTGGGTAGATACCCAGGAATAAATTTACTGGATCATAAGGTATTTAAATTGGTAAGTCTTTGAGGAAACCCTGATAAATTTACTGGATCATAAGATATTTAAATTGGTAAGTCTTTGAGGAAACCCTATATTGTCCTCCACGGTGGCTTTACTAATTTACAATCCCACCAACAGTGTAGAAGAGTTCCCTTTTCACCATAGCCTCACCAGCACTTAATTTTTTTTTTTTTAATTTTAGTCATTGAAACTGGGATTAGGTGGTATCTCATTGACATTTTGATTTGTATTTCCCTTAAAATGAGGGATATTGAGTATATTTTCATATGCCTTTTTGCCTGTTCATATGTCTTCCTTGGACTGATTTTTTTTTTT